GGCTACAGGGTGGGGCCACAGGGAGAAATGCTATTAGACACCAGATGCCTGAACATGTCATTTATATTATTAGTATTAGCAGGAAATATTGCTGAGTGCGAACATACTGGGCCCTGAACAAAATAAAATGAAAGATTATTTTTATTTTATGGTCCTGCTTTTCTAGGCACTCCAGCTTCTAGGACTTACTACTTAGTGAGCTCAAAAAGTAGAATAAGAAAAAATAATTACTCAAACTAGAAGAATTTTGAAAATGAAATCATTATAGCACAGCAATAGCTTTAAACCTACTCACTTCTGTACTGGAAACTATAAGATTGAACACCATAAATTCTTTTGCAAAACTGAGTGAGAAACGGCTGAAATCTGGTACTATCAGATTTGCCATCTGAAATACTCCCCAAATATAAACTCCTCTGACAGCAAAAATTTCCCAATGACAGTGAGGTCAGATTTCCCTTCCTATGAATTCCCTTTCAGATTTTCCTTTCCTGTGGGCCTTGGAGATGCTGTGCAAAGACCAAAACAGACTTTTTTACGTCACATGATCAGGACTAAGGTCCCACTGAAGAAAACACAGCTTCCATCAGACAGTGAGACACTCAGGAATTCCAAACTGATGAAGATTTAACAATAAATTTGTCAACTACTTTTTTATTCCTTTAAGAATCTGGTCCAGCATTCTAGAAATCTAATAGAACAGGCGCTCATTAGGACACAGTTGAGATAAGTGTTCCCCACTAGTTCTTACAGAAGACTTTTTGGGGTCATTTGTCTGTCATGCAGACCCAGAATTCCAAATTCTATTGCTGACCTAACTCGAAGATTTTTTGGATTCTATCAAGACAGAATTGTGTGACTTTCTCGGCCATTTTTGTAGAAGGTATACCTACACAAACTTTTTTTGACAAAAAGCAGCTCTATCCTTCAGTGGTTATCACTGCTGCAGGCCAAGTCTGGGGGACATTTTCTGGGTTCTGCTGTACTCCAGGCTCTGAGAAGTCACCCTCAGAGCCAAGACGGAGGGTACCAACATCCCTGCTTCGATCAGAGCAGCTCCACTTCTGCATACTGCAGTTCTGTGTAAGATTTAATGTCAAATAACAGGTTCTTCAGCTTACTAACAAAATAAAAAAGTATAAACACACTGCCCTGGAATACCTGGGCAGAAACCCCTGTAAGTGCCTGGGGAGGTAGAGCTGAGGAGTCCAGTGATGTTCCTGAGTCATCAGGGTTCAAGTCTCCTTACCTGGCCATCCCCACATCCTTGCTCTGCTTCTGGTTCCTGGTACCACCTCTGACACACAGCAACTGTGCGAACTGTCGATGACCGACGGTCATTCACAGACAGACAGACAGACAGAAGCTGCTTCCCATCAGCCTAGAGCCTAGCGACATTCACCTCCCCAAAGCCAGTGCTGGCAGTGGTTACCTTGTCACTGTCCAATGTATTCTGAGACGTCCGGGAGGCAATGGAAATGGTGTCAGGCTGGCTGCTGCCATCACCTTGGCTGTCCAGGTCCTCTCCATCCCTGGAGATACAAAGACAGTTTCAATTCCTGTCATGGCTGGACTGTTTTTCAAGGCTGTAAAGATCATCTCTGGCTTATTTGGGGAAATAACAGATTTGTGTAAAGATGTGTAAATCAGCCTGCGTCCACCATTATATTTCATGATAAATCACTCTTTATTATTGCAGATTTATTGCTAGATGCTGTGCTAAAGTGTCTTATATCACTCCCATTTACTCCTCACAATATTTAAAATACTGCTGAGGTGACTATTTTCATTTCAGATGCTATATAACTTCTACATGCTATATAACTTGTCCAAGGGCACATGATTAGGAAGACATACTG